AGAGAGAGAGAGAGAGAGAGAGAGAGAGAGAGAGAGAGAGTTACAGGTGGTAAGTATGATTCTTTTCGGTGAATCAGTTGTCCATTTCAATGAACTGATTCAAAATAATTTGGGGAAAAATGTGTGAAAAACCTTTGTTTTATTGATTGATTATTTTTATAGAAGTTTATTGTGTTTCAATTCTTGCATTAAACATACTTCATCTACTTACCCTCTTCACTGAAATCACATAAATATCATGTAAAATCATCAAAAAGCTCAAAAGAATGTTTCATTACATCACCTAGCCCTGCTTCTTGCTTTTAACCAGTGAGTGAAAAGCAAAAGCAATAAAACTACTCAATAACCCAAGTGCTAGTCCATAAATATGAAGGCTAATGATTTATGTTGTGGTAATGTCTCGTATTGGTGTGCTTTTACCTTGTCTTTCCTCATTAGAAAGATGATATACTCTGGTGAAATGGCCCTGGCTCCTCTCAGGAGGGCCACCTCAGCGGCCTGATGGAGCTGCAGGAGCAAAGAAAGAAAGAAATGAAGGCAATTCAATCAGCAAAGAAAGCGGGAGTATGTAACAATCAGCGCTTGGTAACATCAACCCAGAGATGTTTTTAAAATCAGCGCTTTGTAAGTCACTGATGCAGCATGACGACCGTGAGGAAACCGATAAGGGGGTTCATTTTTAAAGCAGGACTTGAGTCACTTTGGTGTGACGTGAGCGTCAAGTCTTGTGCAGGAATGTCTAACTTTGCTATTCCTGCTCAAAATTGTCCTTGAGTGCAATGCAAACAGAGAGAAATGCATCAAAACAACAGATAAAAATGAACCAGGCACGGCAAAATACCACGTGGTGCTGCTCTGGATATGAAAACAAGACAAACAGCCTAACTTACAGGTTTTATGTGTCCTGGTTTAATGTAAAGACATAACGGACCTTTTTATCAGCCGGTGCATGAGAGGTTTACAGAGGAATGTCTAAATCATATGCAACGAAATCTTTAAGCTTGAGAAGGACAAAAAAGCTGCAATGAAAAATGTCTGGTGAAGTGCTATAATTTCACTTTGTCGCCAAAAGAGGAAAAACAGCTCATCCATCATGGTGCAAATGATAGCTGTTCTTATGTAAATCAACATATCCCATGAACGCTCTAGAATTATGGCAAATCTCATGGAGGGACTGTAGTGTTAACTTACTGATATTTTTAAACCCGTCCTTACAAAAGAATAAAAAAAGGAGGATCGAGTTCAACAAAACTATTCTTTGTCAAACGGCTTTGGACATGAATGTGAAAAGTGCTATATAAATATACTGCACTGAACTGAAGCAAACCGCAACTAATGATCTGTGACGTATATAATAACAAACACACACAAAGAGCAAGGTTTGATTCCGTGTAGAGCTGGTTTTCTTAGTTAAAAGATGATTTCACGTTGAGGATGCACTTGTACATGCAAAATACAGTCTGAAAAATATAAAGCAAATACCTTCATGTGATAATCAAAATAAAAGATGACATAGGGAATATAAAACTATCTGAAAAACAAGAAGCATATTTAAAAGACCATTAAGACCTTTTGCATTTAAAATCCAATTATGATTGATAATTTGTGATTTTATATGCTTTGATTTATTTAAATATATTAGTGTTACTCATTTTTACTGTAAATATAATAAACTTGAGATTAATCTGAATCACAAAAAAACTTTTACATTTTTTTAAATATTTTATAAAAAATAAATATATAGTTTATTTCAGTTAACATTTATTTTGTTTCATGTAATGAAAATGTGTTTATTGTTTTGGATTTAGTTAACAATAATAACTCTGGTAAATAGCACTAATAAACAGTCCTAAAAAGGTTTTATTTACTCAAAATATAATTTCTTATTTCTTTCTTTTAATTTGAATAAATAAAGGTAAAAATGGTACGTTTAATTAATGCATGTGAATCAGTTAAGACAAATATTTTTCAAATCCATTTAAACAAATTGTTTTTTTTTTCAGTTAAAATTTATTTTGTTTCAAGTAATGAAAATGTTTTTAATGGTTTTAGTTTTAGTTATCGATAGCCCAAATACATAGCCTTTAAAAAGGCATATTTCAATTTACTCAAAATAATAATTTTCTTTATTATTTCTTTCTTCTAATTTGAATGAATGAACAAATAAATAAATAATGTATTTAAATGAATCAATTCAAAACTCTCGACTGCTTTAAATCACCATTTAAGCAAGTCTAACTTAATAAAGGTTTTCATTAAAGGTATAACCTTTATCCGTCTTGCTTCATAATGAAAAATGAGAAGAAGAAACATTTGTCAAAGAAAAACATTGCATTATACAGCAATACATTTGCTTAATTGTCATGAAAATAAATGAACAATGAAAACAATAGTCCTAAAATATCAACTCATATGCACCTTAACTTTTTTTTTTTTTTTTTTTGATGTTTGCATTATAAATTTAAACTGAAAATGCACTGGGGGAAAAAAATAGAAACCTATCAGCATGTGATCCTCAATAAAGAGCTCTTGTTGGTGAAACCACTGAAGGGCCCTCGAAATATCCTCGACTCTGGAGTGCGGGGCCAATTAAACTCACAGAAGCGACTGCAACTCGTCCAAAAAAGAAAAAGATGATATTCTTCATGAAGAGGCACAAACTTAATCCACCTCGAGTCCTGGAATACACACAAGCAATTCTCGGCATCTGTAAACATTTGCTGGTCATAAATATATTTGCTCAGGAACGTTCATGTGAGTGTGCGAGCCGGACGGACCCCACACATGCACACACAGGGGGAGCATTTACCGCCGCGCCACAAGACTTTAATATAGATCTCTCTGGCCTGGCATCACACCAAGGTCGACATACTGGCTGCCATGTCTGTCCCACCGTTTCACAGAGGAATGGTTTTTAATAGACAAAAATGGCTGTAAGTATGCAGAATCTCATCCCTCACTTTCCGCACAAATCCCAGCCAAAATTCCCATCATCCTCGGAAACCAGAACCACTTTCCTGAGGAATTATATATAGTGTTCTTATATACAACGATACCTTAACAATTTTATGACTTAATCGACTTGATCTGCACTAGAAATCCAAGAGTATGATACATTTAAAATCAGTTATTTGTGGATAATTTTGCCAATGTTCACTCAAAAACTGAGGTGCATAAGCTCAAATTAATAAGGCCTATATATTAATATAATATTTTGCATCGTGACATTTATATAAACATTTAAAAAATGAAAAATATATGGAATTAAAATATAAAATTAAAATGGAATTCAAAATATTTGAAAAAAACCTAGAATAGCATATCAGTGGTATACTAAAAAAAACATTATTTGTGGATAATTTAGCCAGTGTTCACTAAAAAAATCATAAGCTCATATTAATAATATGATATAATATAATAATGTTTTGAATTGTGACATTTATATAAACATTAAAAAAATTAAAAAAGACTAAAAATGATATTAAAAAATATAAAATGAAAATGGAATTCAAAATATTAACAAAACCTAGAACAGCATATCAAGGATATACTAAAAACATTATTTGTGGCTAATTTTGCCAGTGTTCACTCAAAAAATCATAAGCTCATATTTTAATATAATATAATATATTATATTTTTTTGCATTGTGAAATTTATATACATGTAAAAAAAAACACTATAAATATTTGAAAAATAAACTAAATGTGAAAACACAAAATCTAAAAATAAAACAAACCCTATCATAAGCTCATATTAATAATACAATACAATATAATATATCTTTTTTTGCATTGTGAAATTTATATACAGTACATGTAAAAATACACAATAAAAATTAGGGGAAAAAATACGAAAAGTGAAAACAGAAAATCTAAAAATAAAATGGAATTCAAAATGTTAACAAACCCTAGAATAGAATATCAATGATATACTATGGAATGTATATATATATATAAAAAAAAGCATTATTTGTGGATCATTTTGGCCATTTTCACTCAAAAATTGAGGTGTGTAAGCGCAGATCAATGAGGCCTCAAAATGAAATAAAAACCTGTGCTAAATGGAAAAAAAAAGATACAAAATATTCCAGTTTTGGTAATAATATAGCATAAGAAATGTATACACAATTTTTTGTAGGCTGGTCATTTTTCACCAAAACAACACAAGCGTAACAAGGTGGGGTAATTCACATAAACCCATTTTAAGGAAAACTTGATTGATTTTGGCCCAAAAGGGGAAAAACCCCATGATCCCTTAAAAGTCTCACAGTGCGGCTCTTTTCAGGCTTAAGGAAGGTTTTTCCGTACCATTTGCAATCCTGTCTTCTGCAAAATATCAGATTAATTTTAGTAATTGCTCTAATTTTACAGGTTGATCAAAGCTAAATGAAGTCGGGCCGTTATTCCATTCACTCATGAACACTGGGATCTCTGTGGTCTTTTTCCAGCGAGGCTGTTGACAGTTTACTGCAGCGGCGAAGGACTGTTTGACCATTTCTGAGATGCCCGAGTTATCACACTGCTGCGGTATTCATAAGATTGAGGGTGTTTTTACCCATCTCGATATTATCGCTTATGGTTTCCCTGAAAGAAAAAAAAAAAAAGGAAAAAGAAAACAGGAGACCGAATCCAAAACGTAAACACAAGACGTGGAGGGAGGGGCTGATGATGGTTTGATTGACAGCTGGCCTCAGGAAAACCCCTCCTTGTTTTCTTTTAAAGAAACGCTTAAAAAGACTAATTGAAATCAAATGTACTGATATTCTTGTCAGCAAAATCAATTGTTCTGGCATTATTACCTCACCCTCATGTCTGTACGACCGGAAGCAAACCGTAAGTTGATATTGTATTACAGTAATGAAGATAAATGAAAAAAAATGCATCCAGGATGAAATGCAGTAATGAGAATATGAGGGGGAAATGTGCTTAAAAGTCAAGAAAATGTCACAATGAAAAAATAATATAATAATATATAGCATCATACTATTTATTAGATCTATATAATATAATATTTTGTATTTTGATATTTATATAGACATTTTTCAAAAAATAAAATGAGAAAAACCACAGAATTATTAAAACTTTAAATTTAGTATAATAAAATAATTACATCAGTACATAGCAGTGTTATTTTAGTATTATCATTTTGATACATTATTTAAGTTTTTGTTCATATTTGGAATTAGATTAAATTATTAAATAATTGTGATGTGTCATTTGTATTATTTTGTATGTTTCTATATAAATTAATGATAAAAATAATATTTTTTTAATAAAAATAATAATTAAAAACTATATATTATATTAAACAAATAAATAGTCTTAAAATAGGTAGATTTTATTTACATAAAATAATTTCCTTTTTTCTTCTTTTAATTTGGTGTGAAGTGTGATCTGGATATGTTTTCATGTGATTTATCCAATCATCAAAACAACTCTTCAATGTTGGTCTCCAAAAAAAACTCATTTTTTAAAAATGTATTTACTAGTTT